ATTCCAGCAATTCCTGTTTACGGATATCAATAAACTGATTCTAAAGTTTATATGGGGAGGCAAAAAACACAGAATAGCCAAGACAATATTGAAGGAGAAGAACAAAGTTGGAGGACTGATGCTACCCGCCATCAAGAATTACTATAAAGCGACAGCAATCAGATAGTGTGGTATTGACAAAAGAATAAACAAAAACATCAATAGAACAGAACAGAGAGCCCAGAGATACACCCCCACAAAGACAGTCAACTGATCTTTGATAAAGGAGCAAAGGCAATACAACTGAACAAACTGGTGCTAGAACAACTGGACATCCAGATGCAAAAAAAAACGCACCTAGACAGACCAAACACCTTTCACAAAATTTAATTCAAAATGGACAATAGACCTAAACGTAAACCGTGAAACTATAAAACTCCTAGAATATAACATAAAAGAAAACCTAGATGATCTTGGGTATGGTGATACCTTTTCAGATACACTGCCAAAGACAATCCATGAAAGAAATAAGTGATTAAACTGGACTCCATTAAAATTAAAAACTTCTGCTCTGCAAAATTCATTATCAAGAGAATTAGAAGACAAGTGACAGACTGGGAGAAAATATTTGCAAAGGACACATCTGATAAAGGACTGTTATACAAAATATACAAACAACTTTTAAAATTCAACACTAAGAAAACAAACAACCTGATTAAAAAATGGGCCAAATGGGTCAAAGACCTTAATAGACACCTTCCCAAAGATAATTGTCCTTTTATATGAAGATGGCAAATAAGCAAATGAAAAGATGCTCCACATCATATATCATCAGGGAAATGCAAATTAAAACAATGAGATACTACTACACACCTATTAGAATAGCCAAAATCCAGAACAGTGACACCACCAAATGCTGGTAAGCCTGTGTAGCAATAGATCACTCATATATTGCTGGTGGGAAGGCAAAATGGTACAGCCATTTTGGAAGACAGTTGGTAGTTTCTTACAAAACTCGTACCATATGATCTATCAATCATGCTCCTTGGTATTTACCCAAAGAAGTTAAAACCTTATGTCTACACAAAAACCTGTATACCAATGTTTATACCAGCATTATTCATAACTGCCAAAACCTGGAAACAACCAAGATGTCCTTCAGTAGGTGAATGAGTAAATAATCTGTGGTACATCCAAACAATGAAATATTATTATTCAGCACTGAAAAGAAATGAGCTATCAAGCCATGAAAAGACATGGAGGAACCTTAACTGCATATTACTAAGTGAAAGAAGCCAAGGTGAAAAGGCTACATACTGTATGATTCCAACTATATGACATTCTGGAAAAGGCAAAACTATGAACACAATGAAAAGATCAGTGGTTGCAGGGGGTAGTGGTGGAGTGAACAGGCAGAGCACAGAGGATTTTTAGGGTAGTTAAAAAATTTAGTATGATATTATAATGATGAATATATATCATTAATACATTTGTCCAAACTCATGAAATGCACAACACTAAGAATAAACCCTAAGGTAAACTACACTTTGAATGATTATATGTCAGTGTAGGTTCATCCTTGGTAAAAAATGTACCATTCTGGTGAGTGATGTTGATAATGGGGGAGAGGCTATGCATGTGTGGGGGCAGGGAGCATATGGGAAATCTCTGTACCTCCCTCTCAATTTTGTTGTAAACTTAAAATTGTTCTAAAAAAGTCTTAAAAAAAAAAAGATTCCTGCTTCCTTAACAAAGTAATTGATACACCAATTTCATTCAACAAATTCACTGAGTTGCCTACTATGCGCCAGATGCTATTCATTCGTCTGCTCATATATTCCACAAATAATTAATACCTACCACGTGTTCTAGATAATGGGGATGCAATAACAAAACAGATGAAAACCTCAGCCTCCATGAAGTTTATAGTCTAAAGGTGGGGGACAGACAATAAACTAATAATTTAAAAGATATGTGCAGGGGCCGGCCCAGTGGCACAAGCGGTTAAGTGCACGTGCTCCGCTGCGGCAGCCCGGGGTTCACAGGTTCAGATCCCGGGCGTGCACTGACGCACCGCTTGGCAAGCCATGCTGTGGTGGCGTCCCATATAAAGTGGAGGAAGATGGGCATGGATGTTAGCCCAGGGCCAGTCTTCCTCAGCAAAAAAAGAGGAGGATTGGCAGATGTTAGCTCAAGGCTGATCTCCTCACACACACACACACAAAAAGATATGTGCGATGGTGATAACACTATCAAAGTGGGGAGGGGCAGGGAAAGACAGAAAGTTCAAGGACTGAACTGGGGTGGGTCAGTGGGAGAGCCTGCTAATATATACAGAGTGATGAGGACATTTGGCCTCACTAAAAAGGTAAAATTGAGGAAAGATCTGCAAATCCAGATGAGGAAACAACAATGGGTATATCTGGGCAAATAGCAATCTAGACAGAACCTTAAGACTAAGCTGTCTCAATCATAACTATCAGTCAGTGTTTCCATAGTGCCTATTGCTATATTTTTATACATAGATGGCACTGGAAGGCTCTGAGAAGAAACTGACATTATGTAATTTTCATTTTAGAAGGATCACTCTAGCTGCTGTGCTGAGAATAGATCATAGGGAGACGATGAAATCAGTTGCGAGGCTATACTAATCTAAGTAAAATGATGTTAGCTTGGACCTGTGTGGTGGCAATGGAAACAGTAAAAAGTGGTCAGACTCTAGACAAACTTTGACAGTACAACCAACAAGACTTTGTAAAGGACTGGATATGCAGTGAGAAAGAAATCAAAGATGACCCAAGGCTTTTTGGTCTGTGCATATGGAAAGAGAAACTGTCCTTCACTGAGATTTTAAAGAAAAAAGGAAGAGCAAATGTGTCAACAAGATTACACGTTCAGTTTGGTGCATATTAAGTTTAAGATGCTTATAAGATACTCATGCGGAAATGTTGAGTATAACAGCTAGATATAGGAATCTAAACTTCAAGAGAGAGGTCTGGGCTAGAGATATAAATTTGGGAAGCTTTAGCATATAGATGGTATTTAAAAACATCAAAATAAATGAGATTACCAGAGGAGTGAAAAAAAATAAGCTGATCTGAAAACTGGGCCCAGGCCATCCCAAATTTCAGAGGTTCAGAACAAGAAAAGCAATCAGCAAAGGGATAGAACAGTCAGTCAAGTAGGAAAAATACCCAGAGGAGTGAGATATCCTGAAAGCCAAGTGAAGAAAATTTATCAAGGTAGTGGGAGTAATTAATTGAATCAAATCATGCTCTTAGGTCAAATAAAATGTGCAACAGACATCATTAGTGACTTGCAGGAGCGGTTTCAGAGGAATGGTAGGGGCAAAAGGTTGCCTGGAGTGGATCCAAGAGAGAATAGAAGAATTAAACAAAACAGACATAGACAATTCATTCAAGTAATTTTATTATAAAGGGAGGCAGAGAAATAGAGTTGTAGCTAGAGTGGGATGAAGGGTCAAGAGAGGGTTTCTTGGGCCAGCCCCGTGGCTTAGCGGTTAAGTGTGCACGCTCCGCTGCTGGCGGCCCGGGTTCGGATCCTGGGCGCGTACCGACGCACCACTTCTCCGGCCATGCTGAGGCCGTGTCCCACGTACAGCAACTAGAAGGACGTGCAGCTATGACATACAACTATCTACTGGGGCTTTGGGGGAAAATAAATAAATAAATAAAATTATAAAAAAAGAGAGAGGGTTTCTTCCTAAACTTGGGAGAAAAAGTAGTATAAATATTTTACATTGATGGGAATGATCCAGTAGACAGGCAGCAATTGATAATCCAGGAAAGGGTAAGGAGACAACTACAGAAGCAATAATCATGAATAGATGCAAAGAGATTAACTAATATACCCGTGGAAGTAATAGCATTAACACACAAGTAATATACAAGTCCAGTAAAAGTGACAGCAACAGCTTAACTTTTGTGAAATCTTTTCCAGTTTAAAATATAAGTTTAGGGCCGGCCCCGTGGCTTAACGGTTAAGTGCGCGCGCTCCGCTGCTGGTGGCCCGGGTTCGGATCCCGGGCGCGCACTCACGTATCGCTTCTCCGGCCATGCTGAGGCTGCATCCCACACACAGCAACTAGAAGGATGTGCAGCTATGACATACAACTATCTACTGGGGCTTTGGGGGAA